ATACGAAGATCCTACGATTGAATTGATGTGCTGCTCCGATTCTAATATGAAAACTTAGATGCGATGTGGACTGTAAGTTGAGAAAAAAAGAAAATCACGAAAACGAAGGAAATACGAGCCTCCTCACTCGATGGTGCGGAGACATCTAAGAGGCAGGCACGGAGATGAGAGATAATGTGAGTGCGATGAAGACGAGATAGGGCAGACCTCAATTTTTGGTGGGATTCGATCCAAGCTCTGAGCGCCTAGCTTTGTAGTGAAGCATTTCGGTGAGCGAAAGTGACGCGACCTCTGTAGTGGCGGATCACACACCTCTACCCACGGGAGCGACTACTACAGTGAGATTGAGCTCCGACTTAGACTTCTTCTGAGGCTTTGGGTACAGGGAAAACAGGGGCAAGTTCTTCCATAAATTGAAAAAATTTAGCTGCATGTAAAACTGTTAGAAATAAGAAAATCTAAGGTTTACATATCCGAGAAATCGAATGGTGGCGATCTCATGGTGCAGAAGTCAACAGTTTCTCAGAAAAGGAAAAATTTTAGGGTGTCCACATACTTTTGGTACGCACTGTATCTACTAAGCTTTTTCATAACCGAGTGACTATTTTTTATACAAGTACAAACTACGTAAAAACAACTACATGTAGTAAGTTTCAGTTTTAATCTTTTATAATATACACAATCCAATTCTTTTACCTCCCTTCCTTACTGAAGAGCACGGGGGAGGATATCGGTGTCAGTTTGTTTTCCGTATAAGGGCACGTGCGAAACGGAAGACAAACTACTTCTTTGAAAAAACCCCTCTAATTAATTTGTTACATTCTTTGTATTAATTTCATTTACATTTACTTTGGGTGCAAGTATGAAGTGGTGGCCCGATCACGAATATGACGTTTATTTTTGGCACAGGGATCGCAAAAATTGTTCTAGCGTCATCGTCGTCGTCGGCACCAGAACAATTTTTGCTCGATTTCTTGCCACCTTTGACCGCTCACAACTACTTGAAACACTCAACTCGTATTTTCGTTTCCATATTGACTCTATCAACCTACCTTTACTTAGGTCTTCATTCAAGGTTACATGAGAATACGAGAACCTTTCCTGGTTAGAGACAGAACTGATGATGTTTAGTGCACCTTCGAGAGTCACGTTTCGAAACGTGGCTTGTGCACAGTTCGAGCTCACTGGTCCTCAGCGAACCACTGACCTTTACGACGTCATTTGAGAAGCTAGTCAAAAGGGGTATTGCAATTTAGAGCTACTGTGTCTAGGAAGCAATTCCGTCAGTTACCGATTAAGAAATTCCGTAGCAGCTTCAGGCTGGAACGATTACTTTAGGCATGAGCTCATTGTTGATTGAAGATGACGTCATGACGGTGAGGGCAGTTAATGAGGGCCTGCTTCTACTTATGGGAGGACATCTAAGGGATATTTTGCCGTGAAATTTTATCAAGCAGCGGCACCCTGTGCGATGAAAAGTTTGATGATGTGCGCCATAGGCAAACTGTCTCTTTTTATCACCACTCCTGTATTCAGAGCTTCTGTCTCTGAAAAGCCATCTAGTATAAATTAAACGATTGAGGGAATTATGTAGCAGCCTCAGGTCGAACCACTAACTGTAAGCTTCTGCAGGCTCGACGTCAATGGCAAATGACGTCGTATTCTGAAAGGTGAGGCCAGTGGAGGAGAGCCTGCTTCGGCTCATATAAGGAATCCAAAGAATAGTTTGCCGTAAAGGTTATCAACGGCAGCACCGATTGGAATTTTGTCCTTGCGCCGTGCAAACAGTCTTTTTTGGTGCCCGGTACAATAGCACCTATACGTTGGAACCACGTGAACCAAGTTGCCATCAAAGTTGTCTAAAGCGCTTTTCCGAAATCCGACCGTTATAAGGTAGAGGGCGCAAACAGTAGTGGTCCCCTATCACAGCGAGCATGTTAAATTTATCTCACATGAGTTTCTCGTTGCTTGTTAAAGCATATTCAGAGAAACTTTTCTACACGTTAGTTCATCAATGCTTACCCATGTATTGAATTTGCGATAAAATATGGGTAACCTTTGCTTATAACCAGGGTGAATATCGGTCGAGGAAATCCTCGACAGGGGGGTCGTACCTGTTCGGGCTGGTCCATGGGGGGTCGTACTCTTGGGGGTCAGTAACAGAAGTGGTATCATGGTGCAGATAGGTAAGAGGGTATAGCGCAGCAGAAAATGAAAACATCCTGAAAAAAACATGATATTAAATTTTCTTTGCAGGTTCAGTCGCTCCATTCCTCCACCTTCATGAGAAGGGCGTATTTGAAGGCAGTACAAAGAATGAAAGTGCATCCCCGCAAAGAAGAGTGCCACATGTGCGCACGCGCTGCAAAGGCACCTCCTCCTCTGCCTATCGCTCGCTCCTTCTCCCTTAATACCTCGCTGAGAATGACGCTGTTGTTAGGGACCCTGTCGGAAAAACGACAACCGTGAAGAAAAAGCGCTGGGCAAATGAAGTTGTTTTTTAGGTTACAGGAATAGCACAACACACTATGTCTACTACAATACAGTTTCGTTCGAAGGTCCCCATCATATAACACCTTTCAATCGATTCTGCAACTGTGAGTGGAGGACGGATGCATGGCTTATACCAATACGAAATCGGATGATGACGATTGCCCCTATTCTTATTGCTTGCGTTGAAAGATTTCGTTCTAGACACATTCCGAGTGTTGCCAACGAATCACACTTGCAATGGTGAAGGAGGGAGCGGATTTTTAGGTGGCCGGATCCGTCCTCGATAGATCCTCGACGCAATTATCTCTCCAACCAGAAGCTCTAGAAAAAAGCGAAACAGACGGTTAAGAAGCGCAAACCTTCCGCTTTCCAAACTATCTTCCCTTTTTCAGGATCTTACAACATAAGAGAGATATTGCTCTTGAAGTGGCAAAAACTCGCGTGAAAATTTCCGCGTCCTCGACATTTACTCGACGAAATTTGAGAGACCCTATCTTTCTGCATGGAAGACTTTCAGAGCAATTTCAATACTTCTTGGAAACGCGAAATCCAGCTCTATCTAACCCTACCTCAAACTGCTTCAAAGGTTATGAAATGGAGGAATGCAACCTTTTCATCGAGGGTGTAGATTTCGACGTTTTTTTCGGGATTTCAGCAAATCTGACCCAGTGACAATCGCGCCGCAGCTGCCGTTGAATCGGCCGTTGATTGATACACTCGGCTGTTTCGATATACTCAAGCAGGAATTAAGATTAAATCGCAACCCCGTGCCTTCAGGATTTCTGTGCATTTCTGAACGAACCTGACTTTGAGGTCACACAAAGTTAATGCCTCTTTCCTCGAGTCGTATTTCAGTAAATACACAAAAGTGTGCAGCGATGAAAGACAGTGCATAGATGACAAGATGAGGCGTCCATAACATTATTTTGCAGGATTTTTTTTTGATTTGTTCTGCAGGATTTATTTTGATTAATTAATTGAATTAATTTGCTCTGTTATAGGGGGTCGTACCAGGATCTCATTTCGGGGGGGTCGTACTTGCTGCGACCCCACGTACTCGACACGCTAGGCCATCTTCACCCTCGCTCCCCACTCCACACTTATATCGCCCCTCCGCCCGCTTAGGCGCCTGCACTCGAACACCCTGAGTTCCGACGCTGCCTAGTCTCAAAGTCCGACGGCCCCACTCCACGCACCAAACACTGCCCCACCTCCTATTCGCGCACCACACTCTACACCTTAACAACTCGGATGCACCGCATAACCCGAAAGAAGGTAAAAAAAAAACGCAGAACATATGCGTCGCTGCGCAACCTTAAAGAGAAACCTTTGCTGCCCTTGTTTTGCCGCACGTAATCCGCCCGCGCGCCCTATCGGTGCTGCGTTCCTCACCGCCTAACCTCTCTCTCAAACGCGCTAAGACTCAACACCGCGCACGACCCCGAGAGGCGGCGTCAACCGAGCCAATAGGGCGCGTCGGCCGCCGTGCAACGGCCGTGCTACATCAAATCGCTCCGCAGCAGCCCCTTCGACAGCCGATGGTTGCCAGTCCGCTTCCTTGGACGGTCTCGCCGCTTCTCTCCCACCGGCCTCACCTCCTCTAGTCGGCAAGAACGCCCACGCATCCACTCTCCTAGCCCGAACTCACCCGCCGTTTTGTTAACAACAAACATACCGAAAAGTGTTGTTCCACATGTCTACCAATCCCAACAACCCTAGTCATCGGAGCTTTGGTTAATGGAATTCGAGGTAACTTTTACGTCAAGAAAATAGTCAGAAAATGGCCTTCCTTTTTGACTGGGTATATACTGATTGACATGCCATTGAGCACAGTAGTTCGTCCAAGCCGCCTCAAATGAGCAACGTCTAACACAGGGAAGTGAGAGAGAGAAGAGAAGTAAGGTCGATAACGAGCCCTATTGCCAAGAAAGCAAGCCAGCGAAAGAACCGATTCTTTGACCGCAGCGTCGAATCCATGCCGCCAACAACTGCAAAACTGGTGGACC